CCCGATGCGGGACTCGATCCAGGGACTCCAGGATCATGACCTGAGCCGAAGGCAGTCGCCCAACCAACTGAGCCACCCAGGCGCCCCTGCCTCAGGAATTTCTCATCATGCTCATACCCTTCAATCGGCCCTTTGGGCACCTCGACCAGATGCAAGGTATCCGCCGCCTCCAGAAGCGCCGCCCACTCCACCTTGGGTATCATACGCGCCAAGAAGTCGGGGTTGAACTCCACCGGGTTGATGCGGACCTGAGTGGCCTGGAGGCGCAGTGGGAAGCCACGGGGCCCCCCACCCCCCGCACATGCGAGCTCAGCAGGTTGTGCGTGAGCAGCTTCATGTCACCTCAATGCGCTCTCAGCAAGCCTGGGCAAATGAATTTTTAATTTCAAACTTGTTCATTCAAGCCGAATTAACTTTATATTTGACTTGAGGTTTAATTTCTAAAAGTTCATCAGCATCTGGTATTACTAGACAATCTTTCCGACAAAATAAGTTAAATTTTAACTAAAAAGCTATTTGTGACATGAAAAGGTGCTCATTATCACTAATCATTGGGGAAATGCAGATCAAAACCGCAATGAGATCACCTCACACCTGTTAGAATGGCTATCACGAAAAAAGACAAGAGATAAGTGTTGACAAGGATGTGGACAAAAGGGAATGCTTGTGCACTGTTGGTGGGACTGTGAATTGGTGCAGCCACTATGGAAAACAGTATGGAGGTTCCTCAAAAAACTAAAAATAGAAATACATATGATCCAGCAATTCCACTTCTGGATATATATCCAAAGTAAATGAAATTACTATCTCAAAAAGATATCTGCACCCCATAATGTTCATTTGCTGCATTTTTACAATAGCCAAAACATGGAAACAACAACCTAAGTGTCTGTCAATGGGTGAATGGATAAGGAAGATGTGGTATTTATGTACAATAAAATATTATTCAGCCCTGAGAAAGAAGGACATCTTGCTGTTTGTGACAACATGGATGGAACTTGAGGACATTATGCTAAGTGCACTATGTCATACAGAGAAAGACAAATACTGTATATCAAGTATATGCAGAATCTAAAAGAGACAAATGTGTAGAAATAGAGACTAGAATGCTGGTTACCAGGGACTGAGGGCATAAGAGAAATGGGGAGATATTGGTCAAAGATTACAAACTTCCAGTTAGAAGGTGAATAATTTCTGAAGATCTAAAGCACAGCATAGTGATTACAGTTAATAATACTGTATTTTATACCTGAAAGTTGCTAAAAGAGTAGATCTTAAATATTCTCACCAAAACAACAACAACAACAAAAACCAAACAAACTAGTTGATGCTATGGTGGTTATCAGTTTGCAATTTATATATGTGTTAAATCAAGACATTGTACATCTCAAACTTGCACAATGTTATATGTCATTTATATCTCAATAAAGCTGGGGTGGAGGGGAAGTTGCCCACAAAATCAGGCAAAGGACCTACATACTAAACACAATACCAAACTTCCAGATGATGTTCCAAACTCTCTCAAAGAAAAAAAAAAAGCTATTTGTGCAGTAGCCACACAACAAATGAGGGTTACAAAATGTTCCTGTGCTGCATTATCAACATACCCATATTTTCTCCTTATCCCTTAGGGTTCTCCTCCCTAATTGCCAAGTATCACTATGGAAACAAAAGTACCTTTACTGTCATGATCAATCCAAAATGATCAGGTAAAAGAAAATGAAACTTAAGAATGTAAAAAAAAAAACGGGCACCTGGGTGGCTCAGTCGTTAAGCGTCTGCCTTCAGCTCAGGTCATGGTCCCAGGGTCCTGGGATCGAGCCCCGCATC